GTCCAATTGCTTTGATATTATATATATTGGTACTACATGTGGACCTCTCTCAGGTTTGTTCATTTCGTGATGATATCTTTAATTCTCTAATTTTGGTGAATATTTTTGTCATTTTTGGTAAAAAGTGATATTTTCAACTTCTTGTTAAAAACCGCAAGTTCAATTGCTTTGATATTAAATATATAGGTACTATATGTGGACCTCTCTCACATTTGTTCATTTTGTAATGATATCTTCAATTCTCTAATTTTGGTGAATATTTTTGTCATTTTTGGTAAAAAAATATATTTTTGACTTCTTGTTAAAAACCGCAAGTCCAATTGCTTTGATATTACATATATAGGTACTACATGTGTACCTCTCTCAGATTTGTTCATTTTGTGATGATATCTTCGATTCTTTAATTTTGGTGAATATTTTTGTCATTTTTGGTAAAAAGTGATATTTTCGACTTCTTGTTAAAAACTGAAAGTCCGATTGCTTTATTACATATATAGGTACTACATGTGGACTTCTCACAGATTTGTTCATTTTGTGATGATATCTTCAATTCTCTAATTTTGGTGAATATGTTTGTAATTTTTGGTAAAAAGTGATATTTTCGACTTCTTGTTAAAAACCAAATGTTCAATTGCTTTGATATTACATATATAGATACTACATGTAGACCTTTCTCAGATTTGTTCAATTTGTGATGATATCTTCAATTCTCTAATTTTGGTGAAAATAATATTTTCGACTTCTTGTTAAAAACTGTAAGTCCGATTGCTTTGATACTATACATATTGTTCATTTTCTAATGATGTCTTCAGTTCTTTAGTTGGAATTTGTGCATTGCTAACAGCGAGGCTATCTCAGTCGATAGGCTGCTTGTTAAAATTAATAACTGCAAGATATTCAAAACGAACTTTTTATTTAAAATTTAATACCTGTTTATAATTGTATAGTCTTCTCTCCCATAGTTTCTCAAAGTCTTCCATCACTCCCAAAGTGCCCCAAAGTCTTCCATCACTCCCATAGTGCCTCAAAGTCTTCTATCACTCCCATATTGTCTCAGAGTCTTTCATTACTCCTATAGTGCCTCAAAGTCTTCCATCACTCCCATAGTTTCTCAAAGTCTTCCATTACTCTCATGGTGTCTCAATGTCTTTCATAACTCCCATAGTGTCCCAGTCTTCAATCACTCCCATAGTGTCTCAAAGTCTTCTATCACTCCCATAGTGTCTCAAAGTCTTCCATTACTCCTATAGTGTCTCAATGTCTTTCATAACTCTCATAGTGTCTCAAAGTCTTCCATTACTTCCAGTGTCTCAAAGTCTTCTATCACTCCCATAGTGTCTCAATGTCTTCCATCACTCCCATAGTGTCTCAATGTCTTCCATTACTCCTATAGTGTCTCAAAGTCTTCTATCACTCCCATAGTGCCTCAAAGTCTTCTATCACTCCCATAGTGCCTCAAAGTCTTCCATCACTCCCATAGTGCCTCAAAGTCTTCCATCACTCCCATAGTGCCTCAAAGTCTTCTATCACTCTCATAGTGTCTCAATGTCTTCCATTACTCCTATAGTGTCTCAAAGTCTTCTATCACTCCCATAGTGCCTCAAAGTCTTCTATCACTCCCATAGTGCCTCAAAGTCTTCCATCACTCCTATAGTGTCTCAATGTCTTCCATCACTCCCATAGTGTCTCAATGTCTTCCATTACTCCTATAGTGTCTCAAAGTCTTATATCACTCCCATAGTGCCTCAAAGTCTTCTATCACTCCTAGTGTCTCAAAGTCTTCTATCACTCCCATAGTGTCTCAATGTCTTCCATTACTCCTATAGTGTCTCAAAGTCTTCTATCACTCCCATAGTGCCTCAAAGTCTTCCATCACTCCTATAGTGTCTCAAAGTCTTCCATTACTCCTATAGTGTCTCAAAGTCTTCTATCACTCCTGTAGTGTCTCAAAGTCTTCTATCACTCCCATAGTGCCTCAAAGTCTTCCATCACTCCCATAGTGTCTCAATGTCTTCCATTACTCCTATAGTGTCTCAAAGTCTTCTATCACTCCTGTAGTGTCTCAAAGTCTTCTATCACTCCCATAGTGCCTCAAAGTCTTCTATCACTCCCATAGTGTCTCAATGTCTTCCATTACTCCTATAGTGTCTCAAAGTCTTCTATCACTCCCATAGTGCCTCAAAGTCTTCTATCACTCCCATAGTGCCTCAAAGTCTTCCATCACTCCTATAGTGTCTCAAAGTCTTCTATCACTCCCATAGTGTCTCAATGTCTTCCATTACGCCTATAGTGTCTCAAAGTCTTCTATCACTCCCATAGTGTCTCAAAGTCTTCCATTACTCCTATAGTGTCTCAAAGTCTTCCATTACTCCTATAGTGTCTCAAAGTCTTCTATCACTCCCAGTGTCTCAAAGTTTTCTATCACTCCCATAGTGCCTCAAAGTCTTCCATCACTCCTATAGTGCCTCAAAGTCTTCTATCACTCCCATAGTGTCTCAATGTCTTCCATTACTCCTATAGTGTCTCAAAGTCTTCTATCACTCCCATAGTGTCTCAATGTCTTCCATTACTCCTATAGTGTCTCAGTCTTCTATCACTCCCATAGTGTCTCAATGTCTTCCATTACTCCTATAGTGTCTCAAAGTCTTCTATCACTCCCATAGTGCCTCAAAGTCTTCCATCACTCCTATAGTGTCTCAAAGTCTTCTATCACTCCCATAGTGTCTCAATGTCTTCCATTACTCCTATAGTGTCTCAAAGTCTTCTATCACTCCCATAGTGCCTCAAAGTCTTCTATCACTCCCATAGTGCCTCAAAGTCTTCTATCACTCCCATAGTGTCTCAATGTCTTCCATTACTCCCATAGTGTCTCAAAGTCTTCTATCACTCCCATAGTGCCTCAAAGTCTTCTATCACTCCTGTAGTGTCTCAAAGTCTTCTATCACTCCCATAGTGCCTCAAAGTCTTCTATCACTCCCATAGTATCTCAATGTCTTCCATTACTCCTATAGTGTCTCAAAGTCTTCTATCACTCCCATAGTGCCTCAAAGTCTTCCATCACTCCTATAGTGTCTCAAAGTCTTCTATCACTCCCATAGTGTCTCAATGTCTTCCATTACTCCTATAGTGTCTCAAAGTCTTCTATCACTCCCATAGTGCCTCAAAGTTTTCTATCACTCCCATAGTGCCTCAAAGTCTTCCATCACTCCTATAGTGCCTCAAAGTCTTCTATCACTCCCATAGTGTCTCAATGTCTTCCATTACTCCTATAGTGTCTCAAAGTCTTCTATCACTCCCATAGTGTCTCAATGTCTTCCATTACTCCTATAGTGCCTCAAAGTCTTCTATCACTCCCATAGTGTCTCAAAGTCTTCTATCACTCCTATAGTGTCTCAAAGTCTTCTATCACTCCCATAGTGTCTCAAAGTCTTCTATCACTCCCATAGTGTCTCAAAGTCTTCCATCACTCCTATAGTGCTTCAAAGAGTTCCATCACTCCCATAGTGCCTCAAAGTCTCCCATTACTCCCATAGTGCCTCAAAGTCTCCCATTACTCCCATAGTGCCTCAAAGTCTTCTATCACTCCCATAGTGCCTCAAAGTCTTCTATCACTCCCATAGTGCCTCAAAGTCTTCAATCACTCCCATAGTGTCTCAAAGTCTTCCATTACTCCCATAGTGTCTCAAAGTCTTCCATCACTCCTACAGTGTCTCAAAGTCTTCCATCACTCCCATAGTGTCTCAAAGTCTTCCATCACTCCTATAGTGTCTCAAAGTCTTCCATTACTCCCATAGTGTCTCAATGTCTTCCATCACTCCCATAGTGCCTCAAAGTCTTCCATTACTCCCATAGTGTCTCAAAGTCTTCCATCACTCCCATAGTGCTTCAAAGTCTTCCATCACTCCCATAGTGTCTCAAAGTCTTCCATCACTCCCATAGTGTCTCAATGTCTTCAATCACTCCCATAGTGTCTCAAAGTCTTCCGTTACTCCTATAGTGTCGCAATGTCTGCCATCACTCCCATAGTGTCTCAAAGTCTTCCATCACTCCCATAGTGTCTCAAATCAGTTGCCTGTAAGACACTAGAGTTATAACATATAACTTGCCTATAACTTAGTACCGATATTATTATTTCATGAAGATGCAAGGTGATTTTTACAAGATTCACATTCATTGTTGGACAGTGACAATAAGGTTATTTTCTTGTGTTTTGCATTGCTTTTATGCACTATTGTATACCCTAACTCATCTGAAAAAATACCCATATAGACTATCAAACTTTATCAAAAATAAGGAAATTCTACTACCTAATGTAACTAAATCAGAAAATTTAGAGTGTCATGCTACCTCAGGATGTAAAGTATATGCCATATATGAAGCATCTCCACATTAGTGTGTGGAACCAGAGTAACCAACCTTTTTTCAGCTTTATCAAAAATATGGTAAGGGCCACTGAGTGTGAAGTGCTGTAGAATCTGTATTAGAAGCCACAGCTTCTATTAAAATGGTACAATGCAACAGTAGGGGATGAGGCATCTATTCATGTGAGAAATGGTGAATTTTCGGTTTTCAATTGTTCAAAAAGAATGGGTGGGACTTTTATTAATGATGCAGCTTCTAATACAGATTTTACGGTATTTCAGTTTTATTACCAAAATTTACCGGTAGTCATTCGTTTTTGGTCATTTTTGTTTCAGGCCAATGATAAGGACATTGACGAAAATGCTGAGATAGTATACAGTATAGTTGATGTGGAACCACAAAGTATGAGCTTCTTTGTAAATTCATCCACTGGTGTGATTGGATTGATTGATACATTGGACTACGATACAATGGATGAGAAGTATGAGGGGAGATATATGCTAACAGTAATGGCGCAGGATGGTGGTAACCCACCTCTTAACAGTACAACAGAAGTTAGTATTGGAGTGGAGGTGAGTCTATTTGTATTATCACATTTTTTCCATCCTTGAAACTTGGAAAAGAGCAGAATTAGAAAAAAAATGCACAGGAAAAAAGCATTGAAAATCCTGCATGGATCAATAAAGAGAAAAGAAAACAATTACACACGCCAAAAAAGTTAGCACAAAATCAAGTGAAGGAAAAATATCATTAGTACAGTTTTTTTCACAATCGCCCCCTCAGTTTTTAGAGGTCCACCCTTTATACTCATTTGGGGGTCAGGGAGCTACTGTGGAAGTTGAAAAATTCAGAGGGTTTAATTTTTAATAGTGGATTTGATGTTGCAGGAATATTCACTGGGTTTTTAATCTCACAGATTTGTGAAGGAAACAATGCATTCAATTATCAATTTTGAATATTCTATGTTCTTTAATTTAGTGCGATCAGCAAAAACAAAACCCAGGAAATAATCAAGCTCTATGCAGTGAATAGGCATAGGAGTAACATTTATCATGGAAAATGTTAGAATGTCCATGCTGCATATTTATGTTTGACTATATTTTATATTGATTGGGGGTTGAGTAACGAAGCACTGCTTGCTACAAATGTGGGTATAGGCGCAAAACAGAAATTCCTGTAATCTGATTTCCAATAAGTTGATAAATTGTACATGTATCAGCTCTAGCAAATTGACACATTTTTTTTTTCATATTTGCAGGGCATAAATGACAACCAGCCTGTGTTCAGTGAACCACTCTATACTGCAAGTATCTCAGAACTAGCCAGTGATATGGGTGAGAAATTTATATGCATAACTGTATCTCATGTACATTGACCTTTGATGCAAACACTAGCAATACAGATTGCACATGTATGCACTTCCTTACTGCTCATAACTGAGCTCCAAACCTTAATTAACATACTGTAGAATACTTTATTTTCGCTGGAATTAATTTTCGCTGAAAAGGCTTTTTGGGCGTTTTGTATGGAACTTATTTTCACTGATTTTTGATGAATGTAATGTGAAATATAGGAAAAAAGTATATTCGCTGGATTTTATTTTCACGGAATCATCCCTTCAGCGAAAATAGCGAAAATAAATTCCAAGCGAAAATAATGTATTCTACAGTATTGTAAAATGAGAATTAATAAGTAAAATTCCTATAGACCTTCTACATACATTGATAT